GATTGTTGAATTTTTTAAAAAAGTAAAAATTATTTTAAATTTTAAGTATAAAATTTTTCAAATATTTGAAAATTTAAATATAAAAAATACTAAAAATAAAATTATATATATATATATATATATAAAAATAATAAAACTATTATAAAAATTTAAACTTTTTGGAATATATATCATAGATCATAAAATGATAACTTATAAATTATTAAAAAATTTAAAAAAATATTTTTAGAAAGATATATTATACATAATATATATGTAATATTTATGCATATCTAGGCATGCAAATGAATTAAACGTTCAACGAACCGTTCGGTGGGGAAGTGTGTTTATGTTCATTTATTTATTAAATGAATGAACATGAACAATATTTTATGTTCGTTTAATTAAATGAACGAACATGAACAAATGGCTCGTTTGTTAATTTATGTTCGCAAACGTTCGATAATCTGTTCGTTTATATTCGTTCGTTTATGTTCGTTCATTTATGTTCATTTATGTTTGTTCGTTTATGTTTGTTTGTTTATATTCAACTCAATCTCTAGACCCGTTTGAAATATTAGGACCTAATACATTTTAACCTTAAATCGATTAATATTTTAAAACCTAAATAATTTTAAACCCAAATAGATATACTCAAACCAATTAAAGAAAATATAAATCCTAAAAGTATTTGGAAAAAAAAATCTTATCAAATATCAACCCAATTAATTTTATGTTTGTTCGTTTATGTTCGTTTATGTTCGTTCATTTGTGTTCATTTACGTTCATTTATTTATGTTCGTTTATCATTTTACCAAACGAACGAACGAACAAGCTAAATTTATTAATGTACGAACACGAAAAAGAAATTTCGTTCATTTAGTTGTTCACGTTCGTTCGTTTGTTCGGTTAAAATTAAACAAACGAACATGAATATACCCATGTTCGTGTTCGTTCGGTTCGTTTGTAGCCTATGCATATCATCAACACTTAGACAAAATATTCTTATTGAGTTAATAAAGGCTTACAAAATTTAAATTATTCAATACTTATAAATTTTGGATTAGTCGAAACTTACTTTGTTTTCTAGTTATCTTTATGTCGAAACTTATCATATAATTATCTTTTAAATTAATTAAGACTTAAAAAAGATAATTAGAAAACATAATAAATTTCAATTAATTCAAAAATTAAATAAAATATTTAAAAATATAACTATGTAAAATATATTGAATTATTCAATACAAAATAGAATAATGTGTCAAAAATCGGTGTGAATACGCGTTCTAAACTCAACAAAGTCAATTCGGGAATACCAATTCACATTGATATTAATCATTTTTGTTGATAAATAATAATCATTTAAAGAAAATAAAAAATCAGACAAATTGCATTTTAAAAAATAAAGTTTAACAAGTTCTATATATTTTTTTGAAAAGAATAACAAAATCGTTCCATCTAATTAATCTCTTAAAATTTACATTCGATCATTTTTGTCTGGAAATGCTTCTCCAAATGAACTTTTCCAACGCAAAAGCACCACATTCACAGCTTATTAATTTGAGTCAATAATTACTTTTCAATCGTAAATTTTTAGCTCAAAATGGGACGCTTGAGATTTCTTTTACGTTTTAAACGAATTTTTGAGTTAAAAACATTTCTATAAACATTACCAAACAGTAAGTGATTTGAAAAACTTTAATAATTAAGCCTTGATGATTTTTATTTATTATTGTCTATCGTCACATTATAATTTTACCAAATAGCATTTATAAATATTTAGAAAATTTTATTTTTTAATAATAAAAAAAAATCTAAAAATGACTACATCATCGGAAAATCAGATTTTATAAAAAAAAACCATTTGAATACATTCAAACATTAAACATTAAACATTAAACATTTTTTGGGATTCAACATTAAACACTATTTAATATCAAATAAAATAAAAATTAATCGAGAAAATCAGTTTCATTGGTCGGATACAAATTTTAAAATTTGGGGTATTGTAATTTTTTTTTATTAAACTAAGGTGATTATAAAATAATATATGTTTTAAATACTCTCAATTATTTGACAATAAATGCTCAATCACCCTGCTGCAGTTGTTGATGCTCGAACCTATGACCTCTAAAAACAACATTGATTTATTTAACCACTAAAGTAAGTTAGTTCATGCAAGATATTACAATCTTAAAAGTTTAAGTACCATATATGTAGTTATCCTATTTTTATATAATTTTATTTAAGTTTTGTTAACAAATATAGATTATTACACATGAAAGATATGCTTCAACTACCTATATGAACACAGGCATACCAAAATATAAACATTAGAGATATAAATATTAAATGCCCCAAAATTTAAACCTCAAATAAATAAATATGTTAAAATTGTATGTTGAGTAATCTAATTTATACACATGTAAACAAATATATTTAGCTTAGAAATTGGCACGTATGATGGGTTCGTATATGGGTATAATAGTGACTAACCCTAATGGTAAAACATGTTTATTAAATTGACTTCTTGATTCTTATATATGGCTGCTGGCTGCTGGCTGTTGGCTGTTGGCTGCAATTGTTACCTTTGTGGCTTTGACCTTTGCCCTTGGTTTCACCTAATACTCAGCCTTATTTATTAAAACATGTGCTTTGCATGAGCCACCTATTAACCTTGCCTCTATTCCACCTCATGCATTTATCACCTCTTGATTTTTTAAAAAAATTAATTTTGGTGTTTTTTGAACTACAATTTAATCGTTTAGTATAAAAGTAATTTGAATTTATTTATTTATATGCTAATTTAGTTTAAATTTCTTTGAATATTTTTAATCAAGTCCTTTTTTAAAATCTTTAAAAATTATCCTCAAGTGTCAAATCTTTTTTTTAATAATTTAAACTTGTAAAAGTTTCAAAATTTTAAATAAATCACTTATTTCAAAAATTTTAAAAAAATTAATTTCTTTGAATATTTTGTTGTTAATTACATGGCTAGACGTGTTGGAGAAGTACAAAGTTCAATTTGTCAAGGAGAACGATGATTTTGATTAAAGTTAGAGGAGAAATATTTCCAAAAACCAAGATTTGGGTGTTTTCGTTTTCAAACATGCATGTGAACCCCTTTGGTGCTTTTTATTTGGTCGGTTGGGCAAGAGACGGACGTTATATTTTATAGGGAGGATTAATTTATAAACTTTTAAGAAGTTAAAAATTAAAAATATATTTAAATTATATGAAAAAATTAAAAATCTTAAAGATATGATTGTCATGTCTAGAGACGGATGCAAAAATTTATGTTAAAGAGTGTAAACTTACAAAGTTACATTAATAAAATTTGAAGGGATGTAGAATTAAAAAATCAATAAAAAATACATAAAAAAGAATTGGATATTTGGCACCATCCCCTTAAACCATCACTGATGTTTTTTTTATTGGTACAAAAAAGTTCAAGATCAAGGGTGACTCTTTCAATCCAAGGTCAGGGCATTCCGAAGACCTAATTGAGATTTACATATAAATTTATAGATTGTCCACCAATAGTGACGATGGTAGGATTCGAATTTAAACTTATAAACTCAAATTTTGAATCTCAACCATTTGTTTCAACACTGATGTTGCCAACCCCTCAAGCCATCCTAGGTTGAAATATGTAATTAAATCAAACAAAAAGGTTGAGTTTTAGGTTCACTTATTGTACCCATAATTGGGTTTTCTTTGTGAGTCATATGGGTAAGCCCAACATCTGGTCCACCACTACTACTCCTGACATGACATTGTTTAGCAGTTGCATGTTAGAATTTAGGCCCATGTTTTGAATTGATGACCTGCATGGTGGTTTGTGTGGGAATTGCCTTTGTATTGTATGTGTGATAATGGGACGTGTAATTGGTAGTTTTTGGTTGGTAATTATCCCTATAAATATAAACTAATATAAGGTTTCTGAGTAAAAATATTAATTTTATTTCAGAGATCATAAATATATATCATCCAGTAAGATTTTCCAATGTTTATAACACTTTTCATATCAACTAACATAAGGTTTCTAAGTATACAAAATTATTCTATTTCGAAGATAATGAATTACATATATATTATCCAGTGAATTTTCGAATGTTTAAAAGATTTTGACACCTTTTTGTGTCTCATCGACTTAAATTTGATGTGCTGACAATGTCGTAATAACATTTAGTTTTTGGTATTTTGATTCAAATGATGATTCGGGACATTTATTTTTGATATATTTATGTTTTTAAGAGCATGATTTATGTATAATTTTTTTTCCAAATTAATTATGTCATATTTCTTGAAATCACTTTTAAACATTTCTAAGAATATTTTTATTACAATGTTATGTGCATAATCGTTAGATTTTATCAAAACGAAACTTTTAAAATTGATTACATTGTAAATAATTTAGTATTTTTTAATTATTGTTGCTTCAATATTTTGTATGTGTCTGAAGTAAATGACTGTATGTGGACTATTTAGTAATTAGTTATATATATATATATATATATATATATATATATATATATATTTGAAAGATGTTACTTTGTATTAATAGGAGAGTACAAAGTATACCACCTCAAGGACCTCATTAAAAAACCTCCCTAATCCTAAATGGAGGAAAAAGAGTGTACCTTGGGATGGAGAGTAAAAATACACGAAAACGCTTGCAACATCTCAACCAAACCCCTTCTTAACAACCTCCAAACCAGTTCCTCCGCCAGTATCACAGCAAAACCAGCAGACAGAAACAAACACAGACCAACGAAGAGAATTGGATAATCTGGCTTAGCAACACAAATCGAGATAAAAGGAAAACAATAGACTGGAGCACTACGCAGAATAGATAGCTAAAAAAACTATTAAATGCTAGCAGATCAATAATCAATGGCAACTCCCACAAAGAACTAACTAACGAACAAAAACAGGAAAAGGCAGACTCCATTATCAGAGGTGGAGAGAGCTCCACTCTGCGCAGCTAACCCACTTCAGCAATCAAAAACTATTTTCTCTCAACAACTTCCAATCAACATTGAATCGGGACAACGAACGAAATCTTGAATGCTCGGTATCAACCATGGCCAAAGCGCATTGGCCCAAACACCTATCTGCACCATAACAGAATGGAACAACGTTTCAGCCGAAAAAGACTAACCATGAAATCTGTTATTATTCCGACACAACCATATTTTCCATATAATGCCAAAGAAACCAATATTCCATAGAGCCCGAAATTTCTTTTTAATTTTCTGAGAAATCCAGACTTGCAGCAAGTCTTTGGCATTCGAAGGAAAAACCAAACAAATGTGCCACATGGAACACCAACGTTGCCAAATCTGCCATACCACCTCGCATTGTATCATGATATGATTAATAGTTTCTGGACAACGGTGACAGAAAGAACAAAAAGAATTATCAGAAAGAGGAACACCTCGCTTTATCAATTCGGAAATAACTGGTAGCCTTTGATGCACTGCTTTCCAAACGAAACCTGACACTTTTGGAGGCACGAATTTACACCAGACAGCTCTCCAGATTGGGTCTTCCAATTTGCCAGCTGATGCCTCCTTAAGACAAAATAATTTCGGAGAGTAACGACCATCGGCAGAGCCTGCCCAAATCAAATTGTCTAAAGCAGGAGCTGAACTAATTGCTTTATTTAGTACCTCCATGAAGTTCAACCAAAGAGCATTTTCCCATTCGAAGAGGCCTCTCCTAAGCTCAATCTTCCATTCCCATACTTCGTTCACCCAACTCCCAAACTCGGATATGTTTCCGGACTTTTTTAGAGCCAAACCAAAGATTCTAGGGAAGGAAGCTTTAAGCGAATTCATTTCAGACCAGCGATCATTCCAAAAATCGATTTTCTCTCCATTACCCATTTTGCAAGAAAAATCAGCACTCATATTCCCCTCGTGCGAGGCCACCGGGTTCACGATATTCCTCCAAACCCAAGAAGAATTTCGGACATTAACCTCTTTAGGAATGATCGAATCAAGGCTGTAATTGTACTTAGCAACTATGATTTTTTTCCAAAGACAATCGCCATCCTTGCTAAACCGCCAAAACCACTTATTTAGCAAGGCTCGGTTTCTAGTTTGAACATCAAAGATTCCCACTCCCCCATGAGATTTCGGCCCACAAACTGATTTCCATTTTAACCAATGGATTGCTCTCTCAGAATTACCCTTCCAGACAAAAGAGGCAATGAGTTTATCTATAGAGACATAGGGAATACCGACATAAAATATACAGGTAAATTAGATAATACAGATCTGATCAGCGTAAGCCTGCCCGTAAAGGATAAAAATTTAGATTTCCAGCTCTGTAATCGAGCCTGTACCTTGTCCAAAACTGGTTGCCACAGAGACTTCAAATTCTTTTTGTGACCTAAAGGAAGACCCAAGTAAGTCGTAGGAAGAGAATCCCAACCGCAATTAATTGAATTCGCCCAATAACTTATCCTGCTATCATCTACATTGATACCAAAAATCTTTGATTTCGACATATTTAATTTCAAGCCAGCCGCTAACTCAAAAATTTTTAGAACACGTTTGAAATTCTTTAAACTCTGCTCGTTAGCAGCCGAAAAAATCAGCAGATCGTATGCGATTTGGATATGAGTAATTTCTGTGTTTCCAAACCCTACTCCAACATTACCGCACAACCCAATATCAGTCACTTTCTTAAGCATGCCACTAAGGGCCTCTCCAACAACATTGAAAAGAAATGGCGATAACGAACAACCCTGCCTGAGTCCTCGCTTAATAGAAAACCTGACCGAGGGATAACCATTAACAAGAACAACAATAGATGAAGTCGAAATACAGAATTGGACCCACTTTCTCCATCTTTTTCCAAACCCCATCTTTTTAAGAATAAGGTTTAGAAAGTTCCAGTCAACAGAGTCGTACGCCTTTCTAAAATCAGCCTTAAAAAGTAACGCTTTTTTCTTCTTTTTAGATAGGTCATCAATGACTTCGTTTGCTATCAAGACGCAATCGGCAATCTGTTTACCCGAAGTAAAAGCGAACTGGTTTTCCCCTACCACCTCTTTGATACAAATACCCATTCTCTTTGCCATAACCCGAGATACTATTTTATACAAACTCCCTACCAGCGAGATTGGTCTAAAGTCCTCCGGAGAAACGGCCTCACCTGTCTTCGGGATAAGGGCTATGAAGGAGTTATTGAAGGATGGATCCTCGATTCTACCCCAGTAAAAATCAGACATAAACATCATGACATCTTCCTTAATGACCAGCCAGAATTTCTTAAAAAAATTCAAGTTGAAACCGTCTGGTCCCGGCGCTCGCGAACCATCAGAAGAATTAATGACGAACCATACCTCTTATTCAGAAAATGGACTTTCAAGAAGCCTTCTAGAAACAACACTCAATTTCTTTATCGGAATCTCCCATTTTTTGACTGAAATTGTCTTCACATCATTGTAAAAACCCCGAAAGTAGGAAATAAAGGCTTGTTGAATCTTAACTTGATGTTTTAAAACACAATTATTAACCTTCAGTTTGGAAATCTGGTTTCGTCTCGCTCTCGAAGAAGCAGTTAAATGGAAAAACTTCGTGTTTCTGTCACATTCTTTGAACCATTTGAGTCTAGATTTTTGAAGCCACTCTCGTTCTTCTTTCCTCAACAGTGCCCACAACCGAGCCTTCATAGCCACTAGATCGTTCTGAGCAGAAGATGAGCTGGGGTTCAAAATACATATCTTTTCTAGATCATCAATATAATTCCCAATCTTCTCCACCGAATCAGTATTGCTATCACGGATTGATCTTTCCCTTTCTTTTGTCACGGCCTTTGTAAGCGACAGAGAATGCAGAATGCCTTTACCTCTATTAGTCATCCACACGCCCTTAATTCTTTCGACAAGAACAGGATCCTCAGCCCAATGGTTGAACCATTTAAAAGGCCTAACAACCTTTTTTCCCTTCCTTATTTTTAAAACTACCGGATTATGATCTGAAACACTTCTTGGAAGAGTGAACTACACCAACCCCGGGAAAACGCAGGCAATATCAGTAGATATCAGAAACCTATCCAATCTACTTGCTGCCGTACTCGATCCACTCCTAAACCATGTGAATAAACTGCCGATGACTGGGACATCTATCAGATCCCACCGTGAAATAAAATCCTCAAAAAATCGCCTCGCACTAGGAAGGTCAGAGGACCCGATTCTTTCAGAGACAACCCTTACAACATTAAAATCCCCCCTACAACAACTAGGCAATTGAGGTTAGAGATAACCCAACTAAGTTGCTCAAAAAAATCTGATCTGTCATAATGAATATTTGGACCATAAACGTTCACAAAACCAAACTCTAAATTATTAAACACCAATCTGCCTTTCACAGCCACAACTCTCCTTAGAATAACCTTACTGGTCATCTGAAATACATTACGATCCCATAGAGTAATGAGACCTCCTGAAGCTCCCACAGCAGGCGAAAAAATCAAATCCCTTCTAATAAAACCCCTTAACAACCGGTCAACAATTACAGAAATCTCACTCACTTTGGATTCCTGGAAGAATGCTACACCAGGCTTATTTGACTCTAAAACCCGACTGATGGCTCTTAATTTAACATTTTTCCCCAATCCTCTAATATTCCAGCTAAAAACTGAGAAACTCAAATCCATATAGTAACTGACACACAGAAGACTGAACGAAACTCAGACCCTATTCAGAGCTTACCCGATTATTCGATCTGCTCTAATCTTTGAATTACCTCCTCCTTCGACGCTGTGAAAACAACACCCAAAGCCTCCCCAACACAATAAGTAGCCATCGCTTCATTGATGGAACCCCCCGGATCGGCTTGAGCTTCCCTCGCAGAACAATCACGATCCACCGAACCCCTTCTAACTGCATGAATTGGTTTTCGCCTTTTCGAACTCTTCTTCTTTCTTTTTGATACATTACTTTTATCAGGACTACTAGGAGAAGTCCTATTCATCCCATCCTCTGCTCTGGATGAGAAAACAAATCCGTGTGAATTAGGAATAACCTTCAGAGGCTTCGAAGATTGATTCATTGCCACCCCATGGAGAATTACTGGAAGACCCTCACCCTCTAATCTGATTGAGGACACCTCCTCGATGGGAATATCCAAAAACCTTTAGCAATGAGATAAAGACTGGGTCTGCCAGTCTTGCCCCACTTCTCTATTCAGAGCCACAAGCCCAACGCTTTCGTCTGCACTCAATATCATTGGCCCAATATTTTCCAAGACCGGGACCTCTGCAGATTCTCAACCCCCACACCACTCCTGTCCACCTCGACTTCCACTAGCCTTCCACTACCTGCTCCCATACCGTTGGAATTAACGCTTCTCTGGCAGTGTGAAGCATGGGAGGCAGCAATACTAACATCAGCCTCGGGCCCAATGCTGTCGGCATGTGCATCTTCTACCAAAGTTTCGTTACCCACCTCCACAGCATCTGAAACCCACGCGCCAGCCTCCGGCATCGATCCATCTATGAACACTCGAGGCACATCCTGAACTTCAGTAGAAATTTTGATGGAATAAAAGCTCCCATTGGAAACAATGGAGACTTTGTCAGGAATGTCCGAAGCATAATGAACTTCCAGCAAGATCTTAGCTACGTCAAACCTTGCCCGCTTACTGGTGTTTTCTTCAATCAATAACACTTTACCCCACATACTTCCCAACTCACTGAAAAATTTATCACTCCACATTGTTAATGGAACATCCGTCAAATGGATCCAGACTTTACTTTTAACTTTGTGCTCATAACCCTCCAACAGTTCGAGCTCGTCAAACCACCGAGAGACCCATTCCTCTCTATTAGACCAACACGCCTTTAGATCAGATTCATATTTGAATTGAATGACAACCAGTAAATCATGCCAAAAGCTTACTTTAACATCTAACCCTTCTGCATTGAAAGCTGTCTGAATGATATCTTCATTGAACATATTTTTAATTTTCCCCACTAGACAAAAGTTCCTCCACAAAACTTCATTCTTTGCAATGCAGATTAACCTTTTGTAGTCACCATACTTGTGAACGGACCTCGGCGTTTTTCCATCATCGATCTTAACGTGAACCACTTTTTCCAGACCTGAATGTTTTGAAAGCTGAATAGAAGCACCGTTGTTCTCTGACCTTCCTTCAACATAATGAGACCCTCCGACTAAATCCTTATAAGATCTGGAGTCCCTTAACGAAGGCATCCAAGATTTGTTAAAGTTTCTAACAGCCTCTGACCTCTGAATCTTAGGTGTTCTCTTGTTATCGGGAAAAACTCTAATCTTAAACCCGTCCATGATCCTACCATCTGCTCTACGAACCGCTGTGTCAGCTTCATATTTTCTTCCGAACCTAACGAACGCAAAAGTTGAGTCAGCTTCTAGTCTTCTTCTGTTTCGATACGCTATAAAAACGTCAATCACGTCTCCATAGGACTGAAATGCCTCCTTAAGAGTTCTTGAACTAATCCTTTTGCTCACATTGTTTACGAACACAGAATGCCATTTTCGACTTCCCTTCTTCGCTTCCATTTCACCCCTGTTCTAGATTTTCTCAGACCCAGTTTCTTTGCTTTGAATCGATCTACATATGAAATCTAAATTATATATATTTTTATTCGTATAGAAATTATATACTTATTGCACAATATATATAGTAATAATTTTCTAACAGATTTAGCAATAAAACTTAGAATATATGTATATGGATTCAAATATTAACCATATTTTCCGAAAAAAAATTGATTTGATTAAAGATTAAAGAAAAAATTTCAATTAATTAGGTTAAAAATAATTTAGTTCGTTCAATTACTGAATTAACTGTTTCAACCTTCTTAGTTATCAGATGGTGTCGTGGCAAAATAAAAATCAAGCAAATATATCCATTTTTCTAAAAATTAATTTTGAATTCCAATTTATATTTTGGTTATAAAATACACCATTTTCTCATTCGGCTGCAACTCAGCACATGATTTTATTTTGTATCTTACGGAAATTAAATCTAGGGTAAACTACATAGTTAATCACTTTTGTTTCATTTTTTTAACGTATGGTCACTCAATTGAAAAAGTTTATTCACAATCACTTTCATTGTATTTTAATTAAAACATGGTCCCTAAAACGTTTACTTCCGTTAGTTTGATGATGTGACACTTTAGTAAAAGGGTTTAACTTTATATAAAATGCTAATTAGGGACCATTTTATAAATTTAAAGTAATTTAAGGACAAAATTCTAATTTACCCTTTTTCTAGAATGTTATCTTCCCCAACCCCATCTTCTTATGGCATACACTTCCATGGCTTCCCAACCACATGGCTTTCCACCAAGCTCCTGTCGCCACTAGCAACGCTCCTAACTTTCCACCCATCATATGAAAGCTGGGAGAACATGACATCTCGAATCCTGACCTCAAATTCTTCTTTCACTTCCTCATACTTAACATCCAATATACTCCCAGCAAGCTCCCTGCTTGAAACTGGCGGCAACCCGACCTGATTAAGAAAAGCTCTAAACTTTGGATTTTCAAGACTCGAAAATGAAACCGACTCACAACACTCATAAATCTAATCAGCTAACAAATCAACTGCACACTCAATCTGGCATTTGCTTAATGTTAGCCCAGGTGATGTTTTGGGAGTTTTTAGCTTCTTTACACTATCTTCCAACATAGCCAAAGCACCTAAATCCTCTCTAGTCTCTACCTCCAGATAATGTTGCGGAAGACGGCTATCGGATAGAGCAAAATCGCAACTGATAATTTGAGAAAATAAAAATGAAAATAAAAGAGACACAAAATTTACGTGGAAAACCCCTAAATAATATAGGGTAAAAACCACGGGTAACGGTAGAAGAATTTCACTATGAGAAAATAGGAATTACAACCTCTCTTGATCTACCAAGGAGAAAACAATGATAATTCTCTCTTGATAAAAAAGAGAAAAACAACTCTCAAGAAACTCTCTAAATTCTTTAGTATTAGAAGAAAGCTAGAATGCTTTGGGATGGTTTTGAAGCTAAATGGGATAGAGTATTTATAGTTGAAGTTTGAGGACTAATCTTATAAATAACCTAAAGTTTAGTGACTAAATGTAATTATCCCCTTTAGCAAATATTCAACAAAATTGGCTAATAATAATTTTTTTTCAAAGCCACCGGTTGCTAACTAGCAGCCCATGTGGTTTTTGATTTTTTTCAACAATCTCCCACTTGAAGATTTGATTGAAACAATTATATCTTCACACCATTCTTTCTACCTTGTACCATCATGTTGCTTACGTTTCTGACAGGCCACAAGAGGATCGACACCAAGTAAATTTATCAGTATTGATCGCATTCGTCATGAAATCTGTTATGTTGTCTTTGGTATGGATCTTCTGCATATCTACCGTCCCTTCTTCCACCTTTTCACGAATGAAATGATATTGAACTCGTATGTGTTTTATCCTTGAATGAAATGCTGGATTATTTGCTAGATGCAAGGCGCTTTGACAATCACAAAACAGAGATACATACTTTTGATTGTGCCCAAGCTCCTCCAATAGCATCTTCAACCAAATTGCTTCTTTACTAGCTTGTGTAGCTGCTACATATTCTGCCTCTGTTGTGGATGTAGCCACAACTGACTACAATTTTGAAACCCAGCTTACAGCTCCACCAGCAATTTTGAACACATATCCTGTAGTAGATTTGCTTTTATCCAAATCCACTGCATAGTCAGAATCTACATACCCATTGATTAGTAAGTTTGATCCTCCGTAATATAATGCAATATTTGAGGTCCCTTTGATGTATCTAGGATCCTTTTTACAGTATTCCAATGCTCTTTGCCTGGATTCACCATGTACCGACTAACCACTCCCACTGCTTGTGCAATGTTTGGTCTTGTGCATATCATAGCGAACATTAAACTTCCCACTGCCGATGCATACGGTACTTGAGACATATCCATCCTCTCTTCTTCACTGTTAGGACTCATACTGGAGGATAATTTAAAGTTAATAGGAAGAGGGGTAGAAATTGACTTACAATCTTGCATGTTGAATCTTGACAATATCTTCTTCAAGTAATTCTTTTGTGAAAGCCAAATCTTCCTATTACTTCTGTCTCAGTGAATTTGCATCCCTAGAATCTTGTTTGTTGATCCCCAAGTCCTTCATTTCAAATTCCCTAGTCAGTTGTTCCTTCAATTCTTCAATATGATCTTTGTTGGGTCCTGCAACCAACATGTCATCCACATACAACAGCAATATAACAAAATCGTTATCACCAGAACTCTTGAAATAAGCACAAGGGTCTGCATTAAGTCTGTTGTATCCAAGGAACATAATGAAAGAATCAAATCTCTTATACCAACACCTCGACGCCTGCTTTAGACCGTATAGAGATTTGTTCAACCTGCAAACCAAGTTCTTCTTTTCGTCTTCTTCAAAACCTTCAGGCTGGAGCATGTAAATCTCTTCTTCAATATTTCCATGAAGAAAAGTTGTTTTAACATCTAGCTGCTCTAGATGTAAGTTTAATATAGCACACATTGCCAAAATTACTTGAACTGTTGTTAGTCGAACCATAAGAGAAAATATTTCATTGAAATCAATACCTTCTTTTTGAGCATATCCTTTTACCACCAGTCTTGCACGATACCTCTC